AAAAAAATACAGATAAGAGCAGCATGCCAAAGCCACTTATACTATGCATAGCATTACGGGCTGGCTTAAAATTAACTTAAGATTAACTAAGCAATGATGAAATCAGTGAAAAACATTAATGTAAACTGATTACTATAAAGCACAAGTGAGTATTACAAAGACAGGTCATATGGTTGCATGCATTGTTATAAATTCAGTAGAATGGAGTATTCTGTTAGGTAGTGTATTTAAAAAATAATAAAGTTAGATTGGGTTTTAGGTTTAACATTTATGTGATATAATTGTGAGAAACATTTAAGATATACAATTTATAAGGTCAGTTATTCAGTATTTATTTGGTTTTGGGTGAGTAAGTGATCTTTGAGAAGAGACTTGAATTTATAAACAGGTAGTGTTTCTTTTATATTTACAGGTAATGAATTCCAGATTTTAGGGCCTTTTATGTGCATGAGTTTTTGCATAGCGTGAGATGGACACGAGGAATATCAAAGAGTGATCTGTGCCTTGTGTTATGGTCATGTGTTCTGTTGAGGTTGGCAAGGAGATGTTTGAGGGGAGGGTTAATATCAGAGTTGAGTGTTCTATGTATGTAATAGGTGCAGTAATAAGTATGGATGTTTTGTATGGTGAGTAGGTTGAGTGTATTGAATATTGGTGGAGTGTGCTGCCTGTAGTGAGAATTTGTTATCATTCTAACTGCAGCCTTTTGTTGGGTAATTAGTGGTCTGAGATGGTTACTTGTTGTTGAGCCCCATGCACAAATTCCATAGGTGAGATAGGGGTAAATAAGAGAGTGATTTAGGGCCAGGAGGGCTGACTGTGGAGCATAGTACCGTATCTTCGATAGTATGCCTACAGTCTTGGAAATTTTCTTAGAAATTTGTTGTATATGTGTATGAAATTTGAGTCTATTATCAAGGTGGATTCCTAAGAATTTTCCCTCTGTTAGCTTTGTGATAGGTGATCCGTTTATCATTATGTTAAGAGGGACATCTGTAGCTCTGTTACCAAACTGAATGAAGTAGGTTTTGTCAATGTTTAGTGTAAGTTTGTTAGTACTCATCCAGGTAGATATTTTCTGTAATTCGGTATTTACAGTATTGGGCTAGCGTGACTGGGCTCGGGTGGGAGAAGACGTATGTTGTGTCATCAGCAAATAGTGTGGGTTAAGAGTAATTGAGAAGCATTTGGTAGGTCATTTATGTATAGGAGAAAGAGAAGAGGGCCAAGGACACTTCCCTGTGGGACACCAACTGTAATTGGTTGTGCTGAAGAGTTTGCCCCATTTGCGTACACATATTGGCTTCTGTTGCTGAGGTATGACTTGAGGTAGTTGAGGGAGTGCCCTCTTATACCATAGTGTGACAATTTTACGTGGAGCAAGTCATGGTCAACTGTATCAAAAGCTTTACGTAAGTCAATGAAGATCCCAGTGGGACTTCTTTTTTCTCTATTGCAGTGTATATATGTTCTAGCATGTGTATAATAGCATCATTAGTATTTTTATTAGGCCTGAATCCAAATTGGCAGGGGTTGAGTATGTTTTGGGAGATAAGGTAGGAGTAGATTCGTTATGAATTAATTTTTCGAAGATTTTTGAGAGAGGGTGTAAGTTGGATATTGGCCTATAGTTATTCAACTCTGTTGGTCTCCTCCTTTGTGGATCGGGTGACCCTTGCTATTTTGAGTACTGTAGGGAAGGTTGGAGGATTCAATGGATTTGTTAAAGAGTGTTGCAATGATTGGTGATAGCACTTGTGACACTTTTTTGTATATAAAGGGTGGTAAGGTATTTAAATCTCCTGCCTTGTTTTTTAGTGCGTTGATAATAAGGGAGACTTCGTATGGGTTAGTCGGAGCTAGGAACAGTGTGTTCGGGTAGTTTGCCGGTGAGGTAGTCATTTGGTGGGGTATCTGAGCTTGGGATTTTATTGGCAAGGTTTTGTCCTATAGTGGAGAGAAAATCATTGAGTCTGTTTGCTGTTTCTGTTGGTGGGAGTTGGGGTTCATCTGATTTTGCTAATTTTATTTCGCTATTTCGTGATATCTTTTTTGTTCCAGAATTTCTGATAGGGTTTTCCAGGTCTTTTTTATATCACCTCGTAAGTTGGATAATCTGTTCTCATAATACAATTTTTTTGCCCTTCTTATCAGGCTGGTTAGGATTGACGAGTAACGTTTTGTTTGGTCTCTGGTTATGTGACCCATTCTGTACTGTTTTTCATATTGGTGTTTTGTATTTATGGATTTGAGAATGCTGGGTGTTAGCCAGGGACTGTTCAGTCTCTTAGCTGTCATCTGCTTAGTTTTTTTTAGGGCAGTGCTTGTTATAGAGGTATTGAGTCTTTTTTAGAAAATTATTAATACATTCGTCAATATCTGTATTGATTTCTAGCTCAGTGTGCCAGTCAATGTTTGCTACTGCTGTTGTGAAGTTATTAATGGCTGCCTCATTGTGAAGTCTGAAGGTGACTTTAGTAGTGTCTTGGGGTAATTACCAAGAGTTGTTATGAGGAAAGTAGGGTAGTGGTCTGTGGTATTATCTGTAATTATGCCTGATTTTAAAGGGGATATGGTGTTGGTCCAGATGTGGTCAAGTAGGGAAACACTAGTCTCTGTAACTCTTGTAGGTTTGTTACTGTTGGTAGCAACATACAGTTACTCATTGTGTTTGTGAATTCAGTAACGTGTGGGTCCTGGTCTTGCAGGAGATTTATATTGAAGTCACCTGAGAGTAGTAAGTGATCTTTGTTCATGCGTGCATCAGTTATCATACTTCCTAGGTTTTGACTAATTGGCTAATGTTTGACTGTGGAACTCTGTAGATGTTTATCAATGTGAGAGGTTTTTGTAGGTATTGGATTTGAATTTGGCTATTATATATTCCCCATGTTCATCTCTTGTGCAAGTATTAGTGATACATTCTAGTTGGTCTGAGTAGTATATGGCTGTGCCACCCCCTTGTTGGTCTGGCCTACAGTTGTGTATGGCTGTGTAACCAGGAATGCATAGACATCTGTACTATCAGGCTTTAGCCAGGTTTTCAGTTAGTGTAATGATGGACATATGGCATGTAAGGAATTTAGTAATGCTATGAGGTCATCGTATGCTTGCTTAAAGATCTGATATTGTAGTTAAAGATAGTTATGTTGTTGTTGGCACTGAGAAGTGCCTTTGATTGTTCTGCAGTGTAGTAATTACAGTAACTGTTTGATTCATTTAAGTCATTAAATAAGAGGTTGGTATCAGGATCAATGCTTGTAATCATAAGATTTGTAGTGAATCTATAGTTAGAATTAAGTATAAAACAAAGTAAATAGTCTTAAGCTAAAAAATAGCACCTGAATTATTTAACAAATGTAAAATAATGAGCTAAGGTAGTTTTTTTTTTTTTTTTAAGCTAAAATAAAGGAGACAATATAAAAGGGACTAGTACAAATAAAGTGATGATCAAATAATGGAGCTTGGGAATATGATAGTAGGTAGTACTATAAAATAAATGAGCTTTGGAATATAATGGCAAAATTGTGAACTTGTTCTACTTTAGCACCTGAGAATAGCACCTTGATTATTTTAACAATTGTGAATGTATAAGCTAGGGTAGTTATATAAAGCTAAAATAAAGGAGAAAATATATAAGGGACTAAAATTAAGTAATGGTAAACAAAGTTAAATGGACAGATGGTCACTATGAAATAATATTGGTTTAGGAGTAAGATCTGATTTGTAATATTAGATAAATTGAGCAGTTTATTGCACAATAAAAGTAAAAAAAATGAGGTAGTTGGTACTAGCTAGCAAAAGATAGTTTTGGTACTTGCAAAAAAGTAACTGGAATATACACTAATTGCATACACAATGTAAAGTGACTAAAAAAACAAGTAGTGATAAACAAAATTAAATGGACAGGTAAGAAAAAATGAATATTATTAATTTGGAGTAAGATTTGACTTTTAATTTAAAATTATGAGCAATTAATAGCAGTAAGAAAGTTATAGAGTATTGGAGGTAGTTGGCATTAGCGAGTGATGAAAAATAATAAAAATAATAATGTACAATATAATAGTAACGTACACTATATGAACCACACGTATATATGTATTAAGGGCACTTATCTAATCTGTTACAGAAATGTCAGCTTTTCTAAGGAAGGTAGAGAAATCATGTTCGTTTGAGATGGTATATTGTTGTCCTGTTGATGTTTTCCTTACTAGTATTTTCCCATCTCGCGTGAAACACTGATGTGATTGGTATAGTGGATAGGCATCACGTTTCTGGCCACTCACTTTTATAAATGTCGGAGTTTTCAGTTTTAATTGAAGACATTGGAATATTAGTGATCACGTGATAAGTAGTAAAAGCCTAATCTGATTCTCTTCAGATCTTCAGTGTTAATATTTATCTGCAAAAAACATTTGGGTATCTTTATTGTGGAAACGTTTCGTTACTCAGTGGCTTCATCAGTCAAGTACAAAGAAGAATAGTAAAGAACAGAAGGAGTTTGAGGTAATCAGTCCCTTAGTCAGGAGTCGATGTAACCAGTTCATCATCCTGTGATCACACAGTAATGAAAATACTTCTAGTTGCCATTAGGATGCTTTGAGCCTCCTCCACAGGATGCGTCCCGCAGTGTTGGACTTAGACACACAGGTACTTATTGCTAGGTGAATAGGGGCAACATGTCCTGCAATTCCACTCGTCCAGGGTTCGAACCCAGTTTCACTAGTTATAAGCCAAAGGCGTTGTACAGGTGATAAGCAGTTTTAATGCTCGTCGTGCAATCAATAGATTGTTCTTGAGTATTGTGGCCCAGCCCAGATGTTACCTGGGATGCTGTCTGCTGGTGATCATGTGCTGAGAGAGTGAGGGAGGGAGGAAGTTGTAGTTACATGGGTTATTGTCTGTTGGTGCTCAGGTGTTGATGGAGTGAGGGAGAAAGTTGTACTTACCTGGGATGCTGTCTGCTGGTGATCATGTGCTGAGAGTGAGGGAGGGAGGAAGTTGTAGTTACATGGGTTATTGTCTGTTGGTGCTCAGGTGTTGATGGAGTGAGGGAGAAAGTTGTACTTACCTGGGATGCTGTCTGCTGACGCCCAGGTATGGAGGGAGTGAGGGAGGGAGCGGGTTACTACCTCCATGGAGTCGCTACCCGAGTCCGTCTCTGAGGACGCGACGCTAACACCGGACTTGCTGCGGGGTACGCCCGTGGGACCCGTCCGCCCGCCCCACGCCCACCGCGACCTCCTCCCAGGGATATGGAACTTGACCCGTGGGCAGCGGCGGGGTGAGCGGCTCTTGGTGGCCGGGGAGCCGTCCGGGGTGGGAGAGTCGTTCATATATGGGGAGAGGAGACCCCCAGGACCCCCCTGAAGGCTCTGTGCTCGCTCCATCGCGGCGGCGCTGCGTCGCTTGAACGTCTCCAAAAAGGAGTCTATCTGACGCTCGATTTGAGTGTGGGGGTAAGAGAAACTCATAGTCCTGTGACGCCGGCGACTCATCCTGCTTATACTCTGTGTGTAGCACGTCCACACTACACACGCTAACGCCACACGCCCACGGTACACTCCTGGGTAGTCTGCTGGCCGTGCCTTTACTCGCAATACCCACAGTGCCTTTCAATCAACACAACATGCGGCCTCAGCATTCCAGCACCATCTGTGGAAGAAAAATCAAACTGTAAACAATGGACACCTTTACTACTAGCAGGACGTATATCAAGTTGTATTGCAATTATTTATCTGCTTTCTGCCTCTCTTCTATCACCTCAGAGATAAAAATTTAGCTCAACAGTATAGCAGACTTCTGGAACACAATGACCTTTTGGGCCACAGTCATCGAGTATGTCTTTAGTATGTGACAAGCCTGGTGCGCCCTACAGACGAATAACAAGTTGCACAGCGCTTGGCAGGATGTCCGAGTATATTTGACTCTCTGTCTCCTACGTGAAAGGTCTCTCTGACACTATTCTCTATAGAATGAAGATAGAGTGTATTTGAACTCTCTTCATCTCTGCTAATAGAAATAGGAAGGGATCGTGACCCCCTTGGTCCACACCTGCACAGCCAGTGTGGGAACTTAGAGAGAGGGAGCTCAGCCCCCTCATCGCCCCTAAATGGAAATAAATTTATTCACAGAATGCATGTATCTCACCTACAAAACACCTGCTTACAGGTGTTCCTGCTCCTCTCTGTGACACCACACCCATGGTCACCCGTTCTGGGAACTCCTGTTGCAGGGCACGACTCTCTCTAACTTGTTGCAGGTACGTATTTCGTTCTACATCATAATTTAATTGTTTTCCAGAGACGGGGGTTTTAGCTTTATTTTTATTATATAATAACTCTGATACCTAGAAGAACATCTGAGAAATTTTTGAAGGTTCATAATTAGCCGTCATGTGAACCATATATAGACCTTTTCTTGTGAATTTAATAGTTAACCATTGGATTTTTTACTGATAATGAGAATTTTAACATTGTGTTAGTGTGTTTATTGTTAAGTTCAGTGTGTGTGAATGGTTGGTTAGATAATGGTGTCTAAAAGCCTATCCACTACCAGTCAAAAATACTTTAATACCTTAAATAAGGATTAAAGTAAATTTGCAGCGTATATACACTGAGAAATACACACCTTTCGATGTATATATCTATGTATATAACATATGTAAATTATTTTATTTGGGAGCTATCTTTAATTTCATTCGTTATGGTGTGAGTCTATGTGACTCTGATATATTGTTAAATAAGATGTTATTTGAGATTCTCCAGTTGACCTGTGTCGTGATCAATCGACCTATGTCGTAGTCACTTGACCTATGTCGTAGTCAGTTGACTGTTGTCGTAGTCAGTTGACCTATGTCGTAGTCAGTTGACTTTTGTCGTAATCACTTGACTTATGTCCACTGAAGATCTGCCTTGTTTACTTTCTGTGTTTGTATTACCGAGGTGCTAAGCATAGCTTCTCTGAGCGTTGAGCAACTGCGCCATCATGTTCAGGCTAAACTGCAGGAGGCTAGAAAGAGAATCCAACGTTTTAGAGAGGAATACAACGTTATCGCAGGAAGAAAAAGAAGAGACCTGCCCCAACGATGGTGGGACCTGCCACAACGATGGTGGGACCTGTCACAACGAAGGTGGGACCTGCCCCAACGATGGTGAGACCTGCCCCAACGATGGTGAGACCTGCCCCAACGATGGTGAGACCTGCCCCAACGATGGTGGGACCTGCCACAACGATGGTGAGACCTGCCACAACGATGGTGAGACCTGCCACAACGATGGTGAGACCTGCCACAACGATGGTGAGACCTGCCACAACGATGGTGAGACCTGCCACAACGATAGGGGGACCTGACACAACGATGGTGAGACCTGCCACAACGATGGTGAGACCTGCCACAACGATGGTGAGACCTGCCACAACGATGGTGAGACCTGCCACAACGATGGTGAGACCTGCCACAACGATGGTGAGACCTGCCACAACGATGGTGAGGCCTGCCACGTTTGGATGCTGGTTGGAAGGACTGAAGCTGAAAATTAGGAATATCCAGGAGCAAGACAGATGTGCAACAGTTCGGTATCTTTATTTTTTTTAAACGGTTCACTTGCTCTGTAAACTTCTTCAGTCGAATACAGAGGTGACTAAATATTGGAGACAACAGAAGCAGTGAGGAAGTAAGGATGAGGTGATCAGTCCCTCAGCCTTATAAAAAGCAGTTTAGAAATGGTCAGTCCCTCAACTTTGGAAACTATTCAGTTCTATTGTTTCAATCAATTTGAAGTTGAAGCACGAGAAAGGACACTTTATACTGCAACCAGAAGTGTGCTGCTGAATTTGGAGATGGCATAATAGGAGGAGGACGTGCCCAGAATGGACCAATAGGCATGTTGCAGTGCTCCTTTTTCTTGTGTTCTTTAAAAAATTGACGAGCATTGAAGCAGGCCTATAGGCTTGTACTAGGCACTTCTATTCACACCTTTTCACTAGTAACTTGTGACCGAGCAAAAAACGTTCTGGAAGATGTCATTTGCACGAAGAAAATCGTGGTGTAATTACTGCCCAACAAGCTGGGCTCTTACACCACCTAGAAAAATATCTCCTTAAATGGCTTGGAACATTTATGCAAATGAGGCCATTCAGACTTTGTATTCGAAGGTCTTTTAAGAAAGTCTTTTAAGAAATTTTGTCATATTACTACAACTACTACTACTACTACTACTGCTGCTTTTAGTACTACTACTACTACTAGTACTACTACTGTTACTACTACTACTACTACTACTACTACTACTACTACTACTACTACTTTTGCTACTACTACTACTACTACTACTACTATTACTTTTGCTACTACTACTACTACTACTACTTTTACTACTACTACTAGTACTACTACTGTTACTACTACTACTACTACTACTACTAATACTACCACTACTACTACTACTACTACTACTACTAATAATAATAATAATAATAATAATAATAATAATAATAATAATAAGAAGAAGAAGAAGAAGAAGAAGAAGAAGAAGAAGAAATAAGAATAACTACAAAACGCAGTAACCTATATATGGGCCCCAACTTAAACAAGATGGGTCCTACACAGATGACAGCAAGGAAATGAGTGAGCTACTCAAGTCCCAATACGACTCGGTGTTTAGAGAGCCGCTAACCAGACTGAGAGTCGAAGACCTAAATGAATTTTTTTATGACAGAGTCACAGAATTTGGTAGACTCGAACCTATCTGATATTATCATGACGCCAAATGACTTCGAAAAGGTGATAAATTGCATACCAATGCACTCTGCCATATGCCCAGACTCATGGAACTCCGTGTTCATCAAGAACTGCAAGAAGCCTCTATCATGTGCTTTTAACATCCTATGGAGAGGGAGCATGGACACGGGGGTCGTCCCACAGCTGCTAAAAACGACAGACATAGCCACACTCCACAAAGGTGGCAGTAAAGCAATAGCAAAGAACTACAGACCGATAGCGCTAACATCCCACATCATAAAAATTTTTGAAAGGGTTCTAAGAAGCAACATCGCCACCCATCTGGATACCCATCACTTACCTAACCCAGGGCAACATGGGTTTAGAGCAGGTCGCTGCTGTCTGTCCCAACTTCTGGACCACTATGACAAGGTCCTGAATGTTCTAGAAGACAAACAAAACGCAGATGTAGTATACACAGACTTTTCAAAGGCTTTGACAAGTGTGACCATAGTGTAATAGTGCACAAAATGCGTGATAAAGGAATAACAGGAAAAGTTGGTAGATGGATCTATAATTTCCAAACAAATAGAACACAAAGAGCAGTAGTAAACAGAGTAAATTCTGAGGCGGCTACGGTGAAAAGCTCTGTTCCACAAGGCACAGTACTCGCTCCCAACCTGTTCCTCATCCTCATTTCTGACATAGACAGGGATGTAAGCCACAGCAGTGTCTTCCTTTGCAGATGACACCCGAATTTGCATTGAAGACACCGCAAGATTCCAGGCGAACATCAACCATATATTTAAATGGACCGCAGAAAACTATATAAAGTTCAGTGATGAGAAATTTTAATTACTCCTATATGAAAAACGTTAGGAATTTAAAACTATATCGGAGTAACATGACTCACGAAATCGTAATGACACGATTGCAAACAAACCATACCCCGGCCGGGATTGAACCCGCGGTCAGCTGGTCTAGTGGTTAACGCGACGGGCTGGAGTTTTGAGACTCTCTGACCGCGGGTTCAATCCCGGCCGGGGTATGGTTTATATCGGAGTATAAAACAAATTCCAACCACACAATAGAGCAAAAAACTAATGTAAAAGACCTGGGAGTAATCATGTCAGAGGATCTCACCTGCAAAACTAGGAATGCCAAGCCCATGATAACACTCTTCAGGTCACTTGTTCTATCTAGGCTGGAATATTGCTGCACATTAACAGCACCTTTCAAGGCAGGTAAAATTGCTGACCTAGAAAGTGTACAGAGAATCTTCATGGTACACATAACTGCTATAAAACACCTCAATTACTGGGAACGCTTGAAGTTCCTCAACCTGTACTCCCTAGAACGCAGGCGGGAGAGATACATGATTATATATACTTTGAAAATGCTAGAAGGATTAGTACCAAACTTACACACAAAAATCACTCCCTGTTAAAGCAAAAGACTCAGCAGACGATGCGACATCTCCCCAATGAAAAGCAGGGGTGTCACTAGCACGTTAAGAGACAATATATTAAGTGTCAAGGACCGGAGACTGTTCAACTGCCTCCCAGCATACATAATGGGGATTACCAATAGACCCCTGGCTGTCTTCAAGAAGGCACTGGACAGGCACCTAAAGTCAATACCTGACCAGCCGGGCTGTGGTTTGTACGTCGGGTTGCGTGCGGCCAACAGTAACAGCCTGGTTGATCAGGCCCTGATCCACCATGAGGCCTGGTCACAGACCGGGCCGCGGGTGCGTTGACCCCCGAAGCCCTCTCCAGGTATACTCCAGGTATATATATATATATATATATATATATATATATATATATATATATATATATATATATATATATATATATATATGTCGTGCCGAATAGGCAGAACTTGCGATCTTGGCTTAAATAGCAACGCTCATCTTGCCATATAGGACAAG